AGCCGCCTGTACTGAAGTCAGGGTCAAGATCTGGAGGGTGTGTCCAGTTGGTGAAGTTGACTATGGCGTCGCTGTCAGCGGTACCGAGATCAGGAACGAAGTCCAAGACGAAGACGTTGTTTTTAAGGACTGCCTTCCCGATGTAAAGACCTCCTCTCCCGTGGTACAACTTGAATTCTTGGGTAGTGCTGTCTGCTTCGAGGTGGATGCCTTTCGCCATCAACTGACTCACACTGAGAAGGTTGTATCCGAGGCCTTCTGCAATTAAAACCTTGGACATTTGCAGAATGACGTTTGTCTCCCGTGACTGAAGTTGTACAATTCCTTGTCGTCGTGTGCGCAGGTTTTGATTATTGGCGACGGTGATGACGACCTCTCGTTGAAGCTGATACTCTCTCTGTACGAAGCGTCCCGAAGAACACATGTGTTGTCCGCAGCAACTGTCCAAGAACCACGTGTCTTTTCCGGATGGCTCGTTTTGGGCGATGGCAGCGTATGTCGGATTTGGTTGAAGTGCTTCGCGACGAGGTGTGGTGTTGTCGAGTTGTTCTTCCGGTGAGTAATGAGGTGGTGAATCCATGACGCAAGAGTCACTCAGTCTTGCCATGCAGCTAACGATGTTTCTTGCTCCTTGCGCAGGTTGTCCCGTTGAGGTTGTTGAAGCTTGGATCTGGGTCGTTGGATTCGCTTGCGTTGACGCAATTTGACTGCTTGAAGGTCGAAGGTGTCGTTGCGGGGTCGTTGACTGTTGACGATTTGGGCAGTGCGTGCGCGGGTGCCCTGAAGTCTTGCAGATGTGACAGAAGGGAGGTACTGGCTTCGGCTGTTGTTGTCTGTTGCTGTAGTTGTTGTGTCGTCGTTGGGTGTGAAATGCGAACTCTGACGTTGTCGTCTTCTTCCTGTGTCGTTCTTCTTGCAGATCCATGTCCTGCTGTTCGGCGTGGATTTCGGCGCAGAGTGCTGCCTCAGAAATTCGTCCGTGGGCTCGGAGGATGGCCTTTGTTGCGCGCCACTGAGGACCAAGGCCGCCGATGATGACCGTCACGAAAGCGTCTTCAGAGATTGATCCTCCACATCGAAGAAGCTTGTCGCGCAGTTCGCGACATCGACTGATATATGCCATTCCTTTCTCTCCTGGTTTCATCTCAACTGTTGTCAGCTGCGCCATTAACCTGCTCTGATTTACACTGTCTGTTGCTTGGTACAGGTTCTTCAGATGGTTGTACGCGAGTTCCGCCGAGTTGCCGAAGGCCCGGTAAGAGCGAATGTTCTGCTGCTGAGTTGGTGTTACGTTCCTCAGTAGGATCGTATACGCCATCATCGATTGATAAGTGTACTGCTGCTTCTCATACTGTGTGCCGTTTGCTGGGTATTGCAGGGACCCGTCGAAGAAGCCAAGTATCTGCGCGCCCTCCATCATCAACTCGAACTCAAAGGACCAGGTGAAGAAGTCCTTTCCTTTCCTTGACGTCTGAAGCTTCAAAACGTGTGCGAATTGCGACTGTACTTGTAACGCGTCCAGTGATTTGTCTTGTGTAGGTGAAGACTGCGGCATGAAGCTGATTGACCCGCGTTCGTACGGGGCGAAGGTAGGTTGCTGCTGTTGATTTCCGCGCGCGTATGACGACCCATCAAGGCTCATGGGCGTCACTCCGTTGTTGCTGTTGTGTGTCTGTGCAGGTCCCGACTGCTGGTGCTGCTCGTAGAAGGACATGAAGGAGAAAAATTTTTCCATCATGCTTTGGTCGAAGTCCGTGGGGCGATTTGTGAGAGTCTCGGTGGACGTTCCCCTAGGTCTTGTTGCCGTGCCTTCCTCTGTCTGCAGGCCAGAGGCAGGAGGTGGTGTAGGAGTAGTGCCCGGGGAGCCATTAGAAGAGCTCCTCTCCTTGTTTGTTGCCATGTCTTGTAATGTCTTTGATTTGGAAGAGGTAGAATTTCCCCTGACTGCTCTCATACCATGTTGGGCTGAGATAGCCCCTTAGGATCTTTTCAGGGGAGAACTCTAGATAGAACAATTGTAATAGCGGAAGCTTTCAGTGAAGAAATTGTGAACCACCTTGCGCTAGTATGTGAGGGCAAAGTAGATTAATTATAACAGGAAAGTACAAGAATATATAGTAGTGCAAGGAATATCAAAGGATACAGTTATAACTACTTTTACTGTTGCTGTTGCGGTTCGATACAGTACGACTCGGGCAACTGCTCTGTAACGAGTCAGTTGTATGTCCTTAACTGTCGCGCTGTACTTGTCGGGTCAAAGGTTGCTGACCTTTGACTTTCGCGTAACCTCCAGCAACCTCTTCAACCCCCGAGGGTTGACTCGCGGGTGCTTCGGTGTAGTTTGCCTCGCTTCTGATGCGGTGTTTTCGACACGACTGAAGCGCTTAAGTTTTATTGTTTCCAACATCCAGCACTCGCAGCGGGTCTTTTTGGGAGGGGAGAGGTGGGAGGAGGGGAAGGGAAGGGAGGAGAGGGAGACATTTGGGAGGGGAGCTGCTTTGAGTCCTGCCCCATTTGTCTATATTGATGTCCCTGTTGTCTTGGTACTTGTGGCATACATTTTAGTTAAGACGTTTTCCCTGTGTTGAAACAAGGTCATTGCTCCAAAAGGGGAAGCTCCTCTAGGTACAACCCTGCCCCAGTGGAGAAATAACCTGTTTATCATAATAACCCCCTGGTGTGTTTCTGTGTAATTTTGCACAAATGCGAGTGTTTCCCACATCCATCCTTGGGTTTGTATTGCGTACGCATCTGCGACTTGAGGTGCTCTTCGGCGACAGCGCGAGCGAAGTGCGGAAGAACCATCGTTAGTTGTGGACAAATCCTAGACGTCACACACCACATGGAACACCCGCGCGCGCGGAAACGCGCCTCACCAGCATTCTCCCCATTTTTGTTGCGATTGTGGGGGGCAGGAAGCGTGTCCGGCGGATGGATAGGTAGGAAGAGGTGGCGAGGTTTTGGGGGGTTGGGATGGGAGTAGTAGGAGCTTCCTCCCCGTCACCCTTCCCGACGGAAATCGTCGAGTCCAGTCGCAGAATGAGTACAGCACGTAGGTTCTCCGTCTGTGCGACTCGAAGGTGTTTGTCTGCTGTGGTTGGATTGAACTTGGAAGCGGGGATGTGTGGTGTAGAGGAGATTGGGCTTTCCCGAGCCCGCAACGAAATCTGGCACGGAGCAGATGACGGTCATAACCGCGCCGCGCCTGACTCGAGGACGGTGGAACGCGGATTTTCCCTGGTGAGTCCCGCTCGCTTGGAGACGGGCACCGATTCACCGAACTGAAATCTCGAAATACTGTACAGTTTCGTTGCACCGTAGCCTTTCAGGCAGGCATTCCCTTTCCTCCGAATTTGTTTTCAGGTGCCCCGCATGCAACAATTCCTCGGGATTCAACGCGTTTTGAAATTTGGACGACTCGAGTCGACGACGACAGAAACGAAGCTCCCGCCAACCAGAACCTCGCATGCACAGATGTAGCAGCAGCCCAGCGAAGGTCCCTGCGCCTTTCGAGGAAAACCTCTTCACCTGTCAGAGGGAAAGGTCGAAATCAGCCGACACGAAATCAGCTTTGTTCAGTTCACAAGCAACTACTTCTAATAAAGCACTAAAACTTTCCTGCATTCCGAACTTTGCTCCGTCTTTTGCTTTCATTCGCTGCGCTTCTCAACGTGCTGAACGAGTCCGTATTAGCTTAGAAACGCCGGGAGCACCGCCTCTAAGATCAATAGCTTCACAGAAATCATGGGATCCAACGGTCGGATGCAAAAGCCCGCTTCCGCTCTCTTCCTCTCCCCGCACGATTTTGGCGGAAACAGCATTTGGAGCGTCAGCCAGACCGACAAGCCCGCGGGGAAACCGCAGCCGCAACTTCGGGTGGAAGTAGCAGAGGACGACACAAGCGAGTGTGACTATAACGGTAGTGATTGCGACGACAGCTGCTCTACCGACTCCACGTTCTCTTGCCTCTCTCCTCGCTCCTCCGCATCTTCCGCCGCCGGTTCGCTTTCTCCCACTTCCGTGCTTCGAGGCGGCGCTTCGTGGAATACCGTTGAGCCTTTTAACGTGGATATTGCGGACGGCGTGGGGTCAGCGGATAGCGAATCTGGTGAAGACAAAATCAGTTTGCCCGACGACCTCGACCTCTATCCTCGCGAGAATTCGCCCGTTCTCGCACATTCTCTCGCGGCGTCGCCACACTTCGCAGCTTTCGCGAACAGCAGCGTCTCTACCGACAGCATCCTGGGTCGGCCCGCATTTCCCCCCGCTGCCGCCCCCGCCCCCGCCCCCGCCCCTTACCTGGCGCCCGCGCCCGCCCCTTGCGCCGCGTTTCCCCCACACCCGCACACGCTTTACCAGCAGCAGCAGCAGCAGCAGCAGCTGCTGCAGCAGCAGATGAGCCTGTACTGGCAGCAGATGTACCTGAACCAGATGCACCTGCAGCAGCTGATGCTCCTCCAGCAGCAGCAGCAGCAGCAGCAGCAGCAGCAGCAGCAGCAGCAGCAGCAGCAGCAACAAAGGCAGCAGCAGTGCGCAGCACCACAGCAGCCACAGGAAGGGAAGCCGCGGGTTTTCCTTCCGCCGCGCTTCCTTCCCCAGCAGAATACCGCGGGCACAGGTGTCTTCCTCCCGCCCCCCCGCGCTTGAAAAACAACACAGCACCGATTTTGTCGCGAGCAGGGTGTTGATTTCGCTCTCTCGCCTCCTGTCGCGAAACCAGCTAGACTGGTTACCAAATAAGGCCTGCGGCAATTTTGTGATTAGACCTGTACATGGTTTTGATAGAGCTGCTTGGGGGCTGCTGCTGGTTACCCTGTGCGTGCCGTTGCTGCGTGCAAGGCACAATGGGTAACCATTAGCAGCTCACCAAATTAGTATTAGCAGGCAAGATTGCACCTGCCTTCTGTGTGCTTCTTGAAATGGTTTTGTGTGGGACCATTGCACGTTATTCCGTGTAATTAACAGAAATACATCAGATGTGTACAGCTCTAGTGACTCTTTCACCGCTTTGCTTTCCTCACAGGTGGGGAATGGTTGTGAGTGCCCTGGAACGTTATTTTCTCCGGCTGCCCGTCCACAACATCGATAGTTCTAGTTGCCCGACAGCCTCCGGCCGAGTGTAAACTGCAGCGGTAGTATTTCCTTAGAAAAGGAGCTTCCCCTTTCGGAGCGATGACCTTGTTCCCATAGTTGTGCCATCTGTAGTTTGGATCAATCGGGTTTGTGCTCCCAGCAGCAGCAGCAGCTCTATCCGAACCAGCAGCTGCAGGAGCGGCAGCTTCCGGGCCAGACGGAGTGGCTCGGATGGAAGGCACGGGATGGGCATCGCTCCTAGCCTGTAGATACTCCTCCATTGGTCCCACTCGCCTTAATCCCGTGTGAGGAGCACGCATCCTCCGAGCAATGAGCTTCGCCCTCTTGTTTCCCTTCTCCCTTATCTCCCTGATTTCTCTCTCCCCCACCTTGGAAGCTTCTGCCCCTCTCGGCTTGGAAGCTTCCTCCGGCTGCTCTACGGTCGAAGCTGATTGGACTGCAGGCGGTGAATTACCTCTGGCTAGTTCAGCCTGCAGCACTGTCGGCAATTGAAGAAGCGTGGAGTTACCAGTACAAACCCCAGATGCCCGCGAGTTGCTCAATATGGAGGATGCCGCTTCGGTCGACTGTCTACAAAACTGAGTAGCCTCCAACATGCGCCCTTGAGCGAATCCCACTGGGGAGCTTCCATTATCCGGCAAGCTTCCATCTCCCGGCTTATGCGCAATACCGCTCTCACTCCTTCGCCTTGCCAAGGACGATTGAAGCAGAGCGGCCAGCACGGCTCTGCGCCGAATGCTCTCTGGAGAGCCAGGGCTCTTGCTCCCGGCTGGCATGGCAGGAACAAGAGTGACAGCTGTCTCTGCAGCGAAGACTACGCGGGTTCTCATCACCGCGGTAACCGTCGGCGCAGGATTCGGAGCGGTTACCACATGAGTTACAGCAGGAGACCCGGGATCGTCAAGACCAGCATCGCTTAACGCCTGCGCTAGAGGGGCAGCCTCGCTTCCTGAGAAGGGCGAGGACGCTCGGTCGCCGTCCGCCATGCCGCTGGTGCTGCTGCCGCCGTCGTCCTCAGCAGCCGTGCTGCTGCTGCCAGAGCTGCTATTCTCGCCATCCGTGTCCCTGAGCGAAGCGACGTTGCACAGCGCTGCCGAATCTGCCGCCGGATCTTGCAGCTTGTCAGTGGTAAACGTAGGCCTGGCGCCGTCGATCATGTGACCACTCGCACCCACGTGCCTTTTGCGTCGCTTCATCTGCGTCAGCAGCCCTGTGAAAGTCAGCCCCGAACCGCCATCACCAGTGACGCCAGCGCCACTGGCGGAAACGCCGACGCCAGCAGCATGGATTCCGTGCTGCTGATCGGCTGTGGTGTCCTCTGCTCCAGCAACGTAAGCAGCTCCGGCATCAGCATGTGGCGATTCAGATTCGACTCCCACCCGCGCCGAAGCCGCCGGTTGCTGAACAGTCGTGCCGCCTTTCAGCAGCGTTTCGAGTTCGGGCGCCCGATGCCAAAGCTGAGTCATAACCGTGTCCAGCCCAGCGGGATTCGCGGCGTGCGACGCGCGTAGACCTTCAAAAGATTCGCCGGAGAGTTGAAAGCTCGTTGCGGAAGGCGGGAAGACCATCGAGTCGCCAGCGTCGAGCGAGTGGTTCGTCGCGTCGTTTCCTCGCCGGAATCCGCCGCAACCCGTGGCGATTCCCCCGCCGTGATGACTCCAACCATGAAGGCGACGAGGCGACTCCGAGACGCTCAGAGACCGTTTGTGATTCCCGTATGCTGCGAGCGCCAGCGACAAAGGTCGCGTCGTTTTCGTCGTCGTCGAGTCGCCCTTCATGTCGTCCGCGGCGCTCGCGGTGGCAAGGTCAGAGGAGCTCTCGTTTCGCGCCGCGGCGGCGGCGGCGGCGGCCTGCAGGTCGGCGAGGATTTTTGAGACGCACAGATCGCGCTGATAATCCACGCAGCTAACCGCCGCCCCGAGGATCATCGCGTCGCCTTCTAACTGGTCGCCGTGCGGTTTGTCTATCAACTTGACTTCACCGTATAGCGGCTCGCCGGGTGAAATTTCTGACACCGGCGCGGCGCAGCCGTCTAGGAGTTCCAAACCGTCTTCGATGGCGGGCGCTGACGCAGCGGTATCGGCGGGCCACGTGTCGGCCCAGCCGCTGGTGTCGATGGCTTCGGGCGCGGCTTCCCACAAGCCGTTGCTGAAGCATGGTGAATCGAATAAGCGATCTTGGTCATTCATCGAGTTTGATTTGTTCGAAAGTGGATGAAGGGTCTTGGTTGCGTCCGATCGGTTTGGGTGGGTGTGGTGGGATTGGGAGCGTTTTCCGTGTCGGTGAGAAACGCGGGTTTTGGAAGGCGGTGAGAGAAACGAGTGAAGCGCTGACCAACACTGGAGTTGGGAGGGAGCGTTGACTAGAAGGCATCGATTTCAACGCATCAACGTCAGAGTCAAATGCAAAACTTTTGTGCCAGCGGATTTATCGCCGAGGAAAATGGTCCTCAATGTAACGATGCCTGACATTGATTGGAGGAAAAGGATGTCACTTCAACAAAAAACCACGTGGCATGGCAAGAAAGGTTGACATGGCGTGTCTGGTCACTGGTGGTGACGGGAGGGTCCGTGAACGTCGAGCAGACGCGAACGCCACCACCACGCCAACAGCCCCGTCAAGTGTCTCCGCCAAGAGTCTCCGTCAAGGGACCCGTCAAGAGTTCCCGCCAAGAGGATCTCCGCCAAGAAGCTCTCCGCCTACAGAGGATGCGGGCAACGTTTCCGCCAGCGCGCTGGCTGGGCTTGGAATGGAATCGACACGAAAGGCGGGAAGCCAACTTTCGTGCCGCATGTTTCCCCGCATGCTTCCCCGCGTTGATCGCACCACTCACCTTTTCCCTCTTGCTGTGCGGCGGGGGCAAGACATGCAGCGAGGGGGTGACGAGACGACAACAGCTTCATCGTGATTTCGTAGCCACTAGCGAAAGCCTGCAGTCCGATTTCGGAATTGCGTGGAGCATCTTGATTTGTTCTTCGACCAAACCCCATTCAGCCCACGAAGTCAACGAGTAGTTTTCCACGGATCGACGGCTGACAAAAAACGAGATGGTCCGAAACATTTGGGGCCAGTCTGAAAGAAGCAGAGCATCTCCTGCACAGTAGTTTGTTGTTTGCTGGGGGACGTGGTGACCCCTACAAGGATGTCTTTGCACAAGATCGTGGAAACTTTTACCATATCTAAACCCAACATAATTTACAAGAAAGCCACAGTGTTTGCGCTTTACATGCTCTAATCAAGAGGAGCTTGGACATAACCGAATCTGAACAATCTCGGGAATTTTTTAGGGAATGATTTACATCGATCACTGTTTCATTCGTTTGACTCAATTGTCCTTTTTATGTCCAAATGACAACTTGGGCAAACAAATGACAAAAAGCATTGACATATGAGAACTGCTTTCGCGGGTATAACGGGTCTACGCTTGGTGGAACGCTCGTCTGCTCGAGTAGATCCGATGGTGGAACAGCTTTGTCGGCACCAAGCCTAAACTTGGGAAATTGCCACGTATGCGACTCGCTTCCCACCTGCTGCGCACGAAACATTTCTTCAGAATTCAAAGTGTTTGGAATTTCGGATTCGTGTCGGAGTCGGCGTGGGAAAGAAACGCGGCTCCTGCCAACGCGAGCCACACATCGAGCACCAGCCAGCGAAGCGCTCAATGCATAGTTCGCCCGCGTAATCAGTTTTGTTCCGTCCAGAAATAATCGCCCGCGCATGGGGCACCATCCCTCCGAAGCTCCTTTATGCCTACCATGGAAACCTCGTCTTTGATAGACAGCTTTCGCCCTTGGCAGGTTGAAACAATCGTCAGTTTTGTTACGTCCAGGAACTACTACCAGTACTCTCTTCAGCCACTCGAGAGCTATCCTTGGGAACGTCGCACTTTCTTTTGCTTTCATTCCCTGTACATTTGCTTCTCAACCTCCTGAACCAGTCGGCGTAGTGACGCCGGGACCGTCGCTAATACCAACAGTGCACTGCGATTGTGGGACTCGACGGCCAGATGCAAGCCCCGATTTCGTTCGCTTCCCCACTTCGCGCGGCTTAGGTGGAAACAGCATTTGGAGCGTTAGCCAGATCGACAAGCCCGCGGGTAAAAGGCAGCAGCAGGTTTGGGAGTTCTTGCGTTTCCCGTGGCTCCACGGTACCATTCCGCAGCGGGCTTGCTTCCCCCCGTCGGGTCGCTTTTCATGGTCTGTAGGCTCCTTTTCCCCCACTTCCGTGCTGTCCGTAAGTAAAAACATGGGCCTTTTAAGACTTCATTGCACACAGTGAAATGCGTGCACTTTTCTGTGCCTCTTAATGCTGCCAAAAGCGAGGTACATGGTAAATAATTTTATTCATTTATTACACAAACCAAACAAAACATAGCCAGCTGTGCACGTTTTAATGGCACAGAAGAAAGTACAAAGCATGGCTGGATGACCCAACACATTTATCTCACACTAAAACCTTAGTTAGCTGAGCACGTTTTTACTGGCACAGAATTGCAGGACGTAACGGGCTTTATAACCCCTGTGTACGGCCCTGTCTTGCTCTCCTCCCAGGCGGTGCGTGGTTGTGTGCGCCGTTATACGCAATTCTCGGTGGCTGCCCGTCAACAACATCAATAGTTTTCGTCGCCCGACAGCCTGCAGAATGTAGACTGCAGCGGTAGTACTTCCTCAAAAAGGGAGCTTCCCCCTTCAGATCGATGACTTTATTTCCATTGTTGTGCCACCTGTACTTTGCACCACTCGGGCTCGTGCTTGCAGGTGCATTCGTATCAGCTGCAGACCCATCTGAACCTGACGCTGCAGACTCAGCAGAGGTAGGAATGGCTGGTGCTGATGGGGATGGAGTAGTTGAGGTCGCAGGAGTGGTTGACGTGGTAGGAGTGGGAGCGGAAGCAGCAGGTCCGATGAGTTTCGCCCGCTTGTTACCCTCCTTCCTTATTTCGCTTATTTTTCTTTTCAGTGGCTCTAGTTTGTCCCCCGCTCTAGAAGCTTCCTCCGGCTGCACTGCTACTGAAGCGCCTCCGATCAATTCCGATGTCTGCAGTTGAAAGGGTAAGACGTTTCTAGCATCGAACTGAGGGTTGCTCGTCACTTCTGCCTGGTGGTTGTGGCTCGAATTCCGACTGGCGCCGTCGTTGCTACCACTCGCACCCGCTTGCCTTTTGTGTCGCTGTATCTGCTGCACCAGTGCGGAGATGGTCAGTCCCGTACCGCCATCACCAGCACGATCAATATCACCGACGGCAACGGCAACGGCAGCACCCTGGTTTACGTGGTGCTGCGCTGCCTTCGCGTCGCCTTTTGCATCAGCATTGGAATTAGAAATAGCATCAACGTCAGCGTAGTAAGCATCCTCACACTGAATGTCACCCACGGCAACGCCAACGCCAACACACTGGCTCCCGCATTGCTGCTGCTCTGCTGCCGCGTCACCTGCCGATGCCCATTCGAATCCCAGACGCGGAGTCCCCGTCGGCTGAGCAGAATCACCGACTATTGCGGCGGTCGCGGGTAGAGGCTGAAAAGAAGCGTCGGCGCCTTGAAAGCTCCACGCGGTGGGCGAGGTGATAATCCATTCGCCAGTATGCAAGTCTTGAGCGCGGTCCGTCGTGTCGTTGCCCGGCCAGAAGCCGTATCCCGCCATGGGGAGTCCGTCAATCTGAAGATAAACTTCGTCGGGTCGTTGATGATCAGCCTCCATCGCTTCGCCGGGTAACATCTCGCCGTGCAGTTCGCCGATCAGGTGGCATTGCGGTTCGGAGGACGAAAATCCTGACAGCGCCGTGGGGGCGCCGCCTGGAAGTTCTAAGGCGGTGTCTTCGACGGCGACCCCCTCTCCAACGGCGGCTGCACCAGTATCGGCTATCTGCGGGTCAGCCCAGCCGTTCGCGTTGATGGCGCTGGTGATGTCTTGCCACAGGTCGCCGTCGAAATTTGGAGAATCGAAGAAGCCATGGTCGTTGCTCATGAGTGAAATATGTTGATTCTACCTTGGACTTTGAAAATGACAGTGAAATGCTTGCGATGAATTGCTTAAGATGGTATGCGAAGCGGTCGGCGGGTCAGTTAGGTTTACTGGCTTCGCGTTCGAACTGTGGAGGATGCTAAAGCCTCCAGGTTCAGAGTGTCGCTGACGGATCAGCAGCGGCGAGATCCGCAGCGGATGAGAGACTCATTTCATATGAGAGACTCATGTCCGCAAACTCTCGGTATTTGCGATGATGGTTTTCAAAGCCTGACTGAGTGGCAGTGTTCCTCGCTTTATATAAATGGGGTGGGGTGGGTGTGCCGTTGGGATGGGAGGATAGGGGCATGAAGTTCACTTGATGCGTGCTCCACCACACCACCACTGGGGCACTCGCCGCCAAGCGTCGTCGCCAAGCGTCGCCGTCTACTGCATTTGCGGGCGGTGTTTCTGCTTGTGGGGGGGAGCGGGAGGAATGCACCGCGCCGCATGTCCCCCAAAAACACATTTCTTCCCCCTCACGATTTCTCCCTTTCGCGAAAGCAAAAGATCCCGAGAGCGAGCGACAACTGGACTGTTAGGTGGGTAACTCCTACGAAAAATGAAACTCGGGCGCCCAATCGGCCCATTGCAGAGCAGCGATTTGGTTCGTCGCGGTTCGCTGGCCTCTTGCGGAAACTCCAGACAGCAACTGGGTTCGCGATTTCGTAACAATCGTTCACGGGCAGTGGTGATTGGCCAACGTGATTCGCTAATCGAACCATCCAACCCTACCCAGGAATGCGTTGACTGAGACGACGACCCTTTTCAGTTGGGTAGATCAACGCCTGAAGCAACCGAGCATGGTCCGAAACGTTTGCAGGTTGGACACGAACTGCTTGACAAACTATTAGCCAATCGCAACACCCCCACGTGGCTTTGTAGCCACTACGACCTGATATTGTACAAAACCGCTAAAGTTTCCGTTCCCATCACGAAAGTTTACGGTATTTTCACAATAGCACAACAAGCGCTCCATACCACCCACCCCCTAACACAATCCACCCACCCCCTAACTCCCCAGCACAACCTTCCCAGTTAGCGGTGCGACGTAGCGGTGCGACGACCAATGGCTGGGGAGGCTCATGCTTTAGAGATTAGTGTCGCGGACCCGCTATCACTGTCTCCATCTCTGCTAGGGCAGTGCGGGCGGTCTATAGGCGTGGCGGCAAAGGAGTGGGAGCGT